AAAGCTATTTAGTAAGAAATATTGTCAAAACAGCTGATAAAAATAATAATTAAATTATTTGCCATTAGTTTTACTGATTGACCTTTCGGGTCAGTTGTAAATATTATGTTACATAAATATTGGCAAAAGAAGTGCTCTGGCACTAAACATTGCTCTCTGACAAAGCAGATAATCAGATCTGAAAATGCTTTTTATTGTATACTAATAGTGCTATTTAGTCTAATAAAATAACAAGCAAATAATTAAAATATTTATTAACTTCCCGTAGGAAAGTTATAGTAATCACAAAAAAATCGAAAATGAAAATTTTCATATATCTTTACGTTTCAAAGGTTTCTGAGTATTTTGTCATACCTTAAAAAAAATAGATGTATGTTTGAGTGTGTGTATGTGTGTGTGCGGGTACAAAATTTCGTCGACGATTTCGGGAACACCGATCAACCGATTTGAATAATTCAAAAAACATTCGATTCGTATTGATAAGGAGACGTGCTGATTAGTTTTTGGAGAAAGTAGGCCTAGCCGTTCCGAAGATACGGGGCAAAAGGTGCCAGAAATGGTAATTCAATCTTTAAGAGAACGGAGCGTCCGATTTTAATAATTCAAAAAACATTTACGACACAATTTACATTGACAAGATGAAAAATTGATCAAATTTTCATAAAAGCAGGTCTAGCGGTTCCGGAGATCTAAGAAAAAAGTAAAAAAAAAGCCATTTGGCGATCAAAATGATCATTAGACATATGCACATCAAATTATCAGATATTTTTTAGAGATTTCAACAATAAGTATAAATTTTGTTTACTTTCCTATGGGTTCCGTACCAATGTTCATCCGTTAGACGGCAACGCGGCGCTTGCGCGCTTTGACATTTCGGCAGTTAAAGCAGTACGATTGCTTTGAAAAAAGATCAGAATTTCCAAAATATGTCAAAATAAAGAAAACATTTTTTTTTTCAAAAAGTTTTGTAGTTTCTCAAAAATCTAATTTTTTCGAATTAAAAAAATAATAATTTTTGGTACAGGAAGTTCGAGCAATTTGCCTTAAGGCACGATGCCATGCGTCCTACTAGTATTTTAGTCAGATGCCATTCGAATTAAAAAGAGAGAGTTCAAATAAAAGAAAACCTCTCCTTACATGACAGGTATATATTTACATTTGAAAGTATATATTTTAAGTAAGTTTTAAAATATAGTCAATTCTTTCTAATATCAATATCAATTCTATATTCATCTATAAATTCAAACATCGATTCAGTTGCCCATTCATCTATAGAAATTAAAAAAATTATCTATCTATCTATTCGCACCAGCTTTCCGCCTATTTCTCGCGTCATAGAGTATTGTATTCGTGATATATTCAGTGTCTGCTTCTTGGTGTTAGTTTGTACGGTTGATTCTTTACTATCTGCACAAGGCGACCTTTGTCGACAAGACCACAAGGCCGTCTGCCGACATGAGATGATGGAGTTTGTCGGAACTTGGCGAATTTTACGCAAAGCACCGTCCCATCAACATCCGAAGTCGGAAACTGTTACAAAGTAATCGGCAGACTTTCGCCAATTATCTGCAACCGAAATTGATGGACGGATATGTGTATCATTTAGTCAGGAAGAGAAAGATTATGGTTCGAGAAATTAGTAAGTACTACTGAGATGGATCACTAAAATATTTTTAGGGCATTCTAAATATGTTAATTTTAAGTTGTTTTTTTTATTTAATGCAATTAATTGACAATTCTATTATTGTTGTAAATGTAAGAAAAACTGGGCACGGTTAAATAGCAGTTTAGAAGGCAACCCAGTAGTTGACCATATTTCTAGTCATGACATATTTAACATACTTTATTATTTTTCCAGAAATGCTCCTTTTTCCAGAAAGGCAATTTTCACTTGATTTTCACATTTTTAGAATAATCATCTCAAGAGCAACGTTAATGCGATGTAACAAATAAGTGACAAGGTAGTGATAAAACAAAATGGACTTGGTAATGCCCGACATTTACACCAAAGCACTCATTTGCACTTTTTTTGATCAGCAATAATTTTGTTAATTTACCAGTTAGCTGGGAGCAAAGTAAATTTGAACATTTGTCTATAAATACTGAAATACTGTCCTTAGATACGATGGATTAGTCATAAAATCAAGCCATTCAAGAAAAGGTGTAGTGTCAAAACCGTCCACGCTTCCAGGATGCTGACTCAAGACAATAGTGATTTTTTTACAATTAAATAGCAATCAGAATCTAAATATTCTATAAGCTATTACGATCTACTTGAACTCAAAAACGTTTGAGAATAATGTAAACTTGTTCGAACAAGCATACTGCATCTTTCTCTCTTAGGACCCTACATCAACATCAGAATAATTTAGCTGTAATGTCGACTGTCACTACCGTACCCAGTCTCCTATATTCAATATTTATTAGTACATATTTTTAATTATTATATGTGTATCATTTAGTCGGGTCGAGAAATAGATATAATTGATCGAGAAATTTCATAAAAAATTGTAGGTGCTTCGGTGGATCAATGAAAATATTTTCAAAGCTTTCTGAATATATTAAGGTCAAGTTGTATTTTCAGAAATTAATTTTTTTTAATTTTAAATATTTTTTACGATCTATTTACACAAAAGAATGAGTAAAAATTTTCAACAGAAGAAGGGAAAACATTTTTATTAGTATGAAAAACTTAAATTTATTAATACAAAAATAATTATAAATATAAGAAACAAAAATTGTAAATACAAAAACAAAAGCAAAACAAAAATATTATAATAATAACAAAAATAAAAATAATATAAAAATAACTATATAAGGTAAGTAGGTAATTTGCATTTTAATCTGGTGTACTATTTGGTGGCTAATTCGTTAGGATAGACGTCGATTTTGTTTCTGTAATGTATTTTCAAATCTATTATTAAAAAGTTTCAAAAACGCAAAATTTATTAGTACATATTAGTCAATTTCGTTAATTAATTTATCAGAATATTCATCAATGGATTACATTATTTATTTATTCAATATTGCGTAAAATTAGATAAATTGCCAATTGATTTTTGCATAAACTATGCTAAGATTATTATCAATATCTGGTGTGTAGAAAAACATTAACTTTAGCATTATTGCAGATCGCAAACTTTATTGACCAAGAGCCGGTAAGAGTTTTAAAATTAAAAAATGTTTTGTTTTCTTAACGTTCATACAAATTAAATATAGCATATATTTGTTTTCTACAAGAATTGCTAAATATTCATATGAAAAAATAGAGTAATTAAAAATGGATAATAATTTTTTCTTATATTTTGTCTTGAAATGCCTGAACAAAATTTAACATATAATAATGAAATTGTGAATTCACAATATTTTGTATTTGAATATTTAATTTTGTTTTCAAGTGAGAATAAACCTTCTACGGCATTGCTGCATCAAACTAGCTGTAAGTGGAATTCTGTCTTAAGGCAATTAAGGCATCGTGCCTTAAGGCAAATTGCTGGAACTTCCCGTACCAAAAATTATTTTTTTAAAAACAATTAACATTTTTGAAAAAAATTACTTTGAAAAAATAAGATTTTTGACAAACAATTAGACAAAAAATTACTTTTTTTTGAAAAAAAAAAAATTTTTTAATTTTTTTTTTTTAATTTTTTTTTGAAAAAAAAATGTTTTCTTTATTTTGACATATTTTGAAAGATCTAAACTTTTTTTTAAAGCAATCGTACTGCTTTAACTGCATAAAGACGAAATATCAAACCGCGTAAGCTCCGCGTCGACGTCTAACGCGTAAACATTGGTACGGAACCCATAGGAATGTAAACCAAAATTATACTTATTGTTAAAATCTCTATAAAAATATCTGATAATTTGATGTGCATATGTCTAATGATCATTTTTGACCGCCAAATGGCATTTTTTTTTACTTTTTTCATTAGATCTCCGAAACCGCTAGACCTGCCTTATGAAAATTTGATCGGTTTTTCACCTTGTCAATACAAGTAAAATGTTTTTTGAATTATTAAAATCGGACGCTCGGTTCTCTTAAAAACTGAGTTACCGTTTTCGGCACTTTTTGCCCCGTATCTTCGGAACGGCTAGACCTGACTTCGCCAAAAACTAATCAGCACGTCTCCTTATCAATATGAATCGAATGTTTTTTGAATTATTCAAATCGGTTGATCGGTGTTCCCGAAATCGTCGACGAAAATTTGTATCCGCACATACATACACACACGCACACACACACACACACACACACACACACACATCCATTTTTTCTAAGGTATGCCAAAATATTCAGAAACCTTTGAAACGTCGAGAAATGCAAAAATTTTCATTTTCGATTTTTTTGCGATTACTATAACTTACCCTACGGGAAGTTAATAAAAGAAACACATATTAGGAAAATTCTAATAAAAATATATCAAATATAGATAGACTATCCGTTGGGTTGTCTTTTAAAAGAAAATAGCTTTATTGCGAAATTAGTATGAGATTGTATTGGCCTGAATTAGAAAAGGATTAAGTGTATGACATATCTGAATTTATTTATTAATTTTTTAATGCTCTCCACAAATGAACATAACAAACTATCATGTCCAGGATATGTTAGCAATACTCAGCTAGTTAGCAACAGAGTAATGCAATAAATCCGAACAAACGTCTTAATCGCATAATAAAAGGTCCATAATACGTTTCTAACTGACTTATCCATTAACGCAGCCATTAAAAGGCAACTTAAAGATAAGTTGTTGCCAACGAAAACAAAAACAAATCAAAATTTTATTTAAGAATGCGATGATAGCATTTACTGACGGATGATCAGTGAGAGAAAAAATGCGTTCCTTAATACGAACAGCACGTAGTGTGTCTTGGAATGGCGCGAGCCTTGAATATAAATCACTACTTGTCAAGAACCGACGTAAATAAAAATTGAATTTTATGAGAATGACCATAATAAAACACGAGGTTTTTTTTAAAATGAAGGAGTACGGATTACTCACCAGTGCTCTGCTGATCGGGTTTACCTGGAAAAGAAAAAATGCATTAGAAACATATATTAATAATAGAATCTTTGACTGGCAATATAATTAACTTCCCGTAGGGCAAGTTATAGTAATCGCAAAAAAATCGAAAATGAAAATTTTTATATATCTTTACGTTTCAAAGGTTTCTGAACATTTTGGCATACCTTAGAAAAAATGGATGTATGTGTGTGTGTGTGTGTGTGTGTGTGTATGTACGTGTGTGTATGTATGTGCGGATACAAATTTTCGTCGACGATTTCGGGAACACGGATCAACCGATTTGAATAATTTAAAAAACATTCGATTCGTATTGATAAGGAGACGTGCTGATTAGTTTTTGGCGAAGGCAGGTCTAGCCGTTCCGAAGATACGGGGCAAAAAATGCCGAAAACGGTAACTCAGTTTTTAAGAGAACGGAGCGTCCGATTTGAATAATTCAAAAAACATTTCACTTGTATTGACAAGATGAAAAATCGATAAAATTTTCATGAAGGTAGGTCTAGCGGTTTCGGAGATATGGAGAAAAAAGTAAAAAAATGAGCCATTTGGCGGTCAAAAATGATCATTAGACATATGCACATCAAATTATCAGATATTTTATAGAGATTTTAACAATAAGTATACATTTTGTTAACATTCCTATGGGTTCCGTACCAATGCTTATGCGTTAGACAGCGACGCGGCGCTTACGCGCTTTATATTTTGTCCCTATGCAGTTAAAGCAGTACGATTGCTTTGAAAAAAAGTTCAGATCTTCCACAATATGTCAAAATAAAGAAAAATTTTTTTTTCAAAAAAAAAACAAAAAAAAATTTTTTTTCAAAAAAAAGTAATTTTTTGTCCAATTTATAGTTTCTCAAAAATCTTATTTTTTCAAAGTAATTTTTTTTTCAAAAATGTTAATCGTTTTTAAAAAAATAATAATTTTTGGTACGGGAAGTTCCAGCAATTTGCCTTGAGGCACGATGCCTTAATTGCCTTAAGACAGAATTCCACTTACAGCTAGTTTATTAATTAAATGGAATATGCAAATAAGGTATGTTGCAGCAAAAAATGCAGTAGAAACATGCATCATCTTAAAAATCATTAGAATAATTTTCATTTGGAAATTTATGGAAAACTATGTCCAAGAATTGATGACTTCCTGTGCTCGATAAAAAACGTTGGTTAGCTCCAGCAAACATTTAATTGGAACTGCAAACTACTTTTTAATTATCTCCAAAACTACTTAACAACGTTTATGTATTAGACATTTGCATTATACAAAACTTAGACAAAACTATATGTCTTTTATTTTTGCAAACGATATGTTATCGAGTACCAAGAAGTCAAACAGAGTACAAGTAGTAACATTTTCAAACGGCATTTTACTAATTAGTCAGAATAAAGTGTGTTGTTTTAGGTCAATCCAGAAGTACACAGATACTCTTTTATAAATGAGTCCCCATAGTCATCAGCCTACCAGATGTTCTAGGAATTTTTAATAGAATGCTCCTTATCAAATGGCGTGACTTTTACATAATATTTCATTGCTCATTAAAATGCCCACCATATCATTTATGATTGAAATGCCAGCCTAATCCAGTAATAGATATATCACTATTTCTGCCATGGTATTTTTTTCATTTTGGAGTATTGCATATAATAGATATTGTTAGGGTTAAGCCATAGCATAATAGCTTATGGAATTATATTGTATTGTATTAGGTGAGTATAATTGATTAAAACTACTTTATCTGTGAATTGTTGAATAATTCATTCATACATTTATTTGTTGTAAAACGTTTAAATTGTGAGTCAAATACCATAGGAAATAATGCAAATTTGTATAAAATTAAATAATCTATCAATTTTACTAAACACTGCAAAGTTGTGGAACGTTCTGGAATTAACTCAGAGTAGCATTTCTAAATATAAAAATAATTGAACTCGTTTAGATTGATTTTCTGTCAATTAATTGAAATATGAGACTTGAAAATTTGTTTAAAATTCAATTTCAATTTTTTTAGAAAGTTAGTCAGTAGTAGTACCTTTTCTTTAGTGAGCTTTATTAACTTCCCGTAGGGTAAGTTATAGTAATTGCAAAAAAATCGAAAATGAAAATTTTTATATATCTTTACGTTTCAGAGGTTTCTGAATATTTTGGCATACCTTAGAAAAAATGGATGTATGTGTGTGTGTGTGTGTGTGTGTGTGTATGTACGTGTGTGTATGTATGTGCGGATACAAATTTTCGTCGACGATTTCGGGAACACGGATCAACCGATTTGAATAATTTAAAAAACATTCGATTCGTATTGATAAGGAGACGTGCTGATTAGTTTTTGGCGAAGTCAGGTCTAGCCGTTCCAAAGATACGGGGCAAAAAGTGCCGAAAACGGTAACTCAGTTTTTAAGAGAACGGAGCGTCCGATTTGAATAATTCAAAAAACATTTCACTTGTATTGACAAGATGAAAAATCGATAAAATTTTCATGAAGGTAGGTCTAGCGGTTTCGGAGATATGGAGAAAAAAGTAAAAAAATGAGCCATTTGGCGGTCAAAAATGATCATTAGACATATGCCCATCAAATTATCAGATATTTTATAGAGATTTTAACAATAAGTATACATTTTGTTAACATTCCTATGGGTTCCGTACCAATGCTTATGCGTTAGACAGCGACGCGGCGCTTACGCGCTTTATATTTTGTCCCTATGCAGTTAAAGCAGTACGATTGCTTTGAAAAAAAGTTCAGATCTTCCACAATATGTCAAAATAAAGAAAAATTTTTTTTTCAAAAAAAAAACAAAAAAAAATTTTTTTTCAAAAAAAAGTAATTTTTTGTCCAATTTATAGTTTCTCAAAAATCTTATTTTTTCAAAGTAATTTTTTTTTCAAAAATGTTAATCGTTTTTAAAAAAATAATAATTTTTGGTACGGGAAGTTCCAGCAATTTGCCTTGAGGCACGATGCCTTAATTGCCTTAAGACAGAATTCCACTTACAGCTAGTTTATTAATTAAATGGAATATGCAAATAAGGTATGTTGCAGCAAAAAATGCAGTAGAAACATGCATCATCTTAAAAATCATTAGAATAATTTTCATTTGGAAATTTATGGAAAACTATGTCCAAGAATTGATGACTTCCTGTGCTCGATAAAAAACGTTGGTTAGCTCCAGCAAACATTTAATTGGAACTGCAAACTACTTTCTAATTATCTCCAAAACTACTTAACAACGTTTATGTATTAGACATTTGCATTATACAAAACTTAGACAAAACTATATGTCTTTTATTTTTGCAAACGATATGTTATCGAGTACCAAGAAGTCAAACAGAGTACAAGTAGTAACATTTTCAAACGGCATTTTACTAATTAGTCAGAATAAAGTGTGTTGTTTTAGGTCAATCCAGAAGTACACAGATACTCTTTTATAAATGAGTCCCCATAGTCATCAGCCTACCAGATGTTCTAGGAATTTTTAATAGAATGCTCCTTATCAAATGGCGTGACTTTTACATAATATTTCATTGCTCATTAAAATGCCCACCATATCATTTATGATTGAAATGCCAGCCTAATCCAGTAATAGATATATCACTATTTCTGCCATGGTATTTTTTTCATTTTGGAGTATTGCATATAATAGATATTGTTAGGGTTAAGCCATAGCATAATAGCTTATGGAATTATATTGTATTGTATTAGGTGAGTATAATTGATTAAAACTACTTTATCTGTGAATTGTTGAATAATTCATTCATACATTTATTTGTTGTAAAACGTTTAAATTGTGAGTCAAATACCATAGGAAATAATGCAAATTTGTATAAAATTAAATAATCTATCAATTTTACTAAACACTGCAAAGTTGTGGAACGTTCTGGAATTAACTCAGAGTAGCATTTCTAAATATAAAAATAATTGAACTCGTTTAGATTGATTTTCTGTCAATTAATTGAAATATGAGACTTGAAAATTTGTTTAAAATTCAATTTCAATTTTTTTAGAAAGTTAGTCAGTAGTAGTACCTTTTCTTTAGTGAGCTTTATTAACTTCCCGTAGGGTAAGTTATAGTAATTGCAAAAAAATCGAAAATGAAAATTTTTATATATCTTTACGTTTCAGAGGTTTCTGAATATTTTGGCATACCTTAGAAAAAATGGATGTATGTGTGTGTGTGTGTGTGTGTGTGTGTATGTACGTGTGTGTATGTATGTGCGGATACAAATTTTCGTCGACGATTTCGGGAACACGGATCAACCGATTTGAATAATTCAAAAAACATTCGATTCGTATTGATAAGGAGACGTGCTGATTAGTTTTTGGCGAAGGCAGGTCTAGCCGTTCCGAAGATACGGGGCAAAAAATGCCGAAAACGGTAACTCAGTTTTTAAGAGAACGGAGCGTCCGATTTTAATAATTCAAAAAACATTTTACTTGTATTGATAAGGTGAAGAACCGATCAAATTTTCATAAAGGCAGGTCCAGCGGTCTCGGAGATCTAATGAAAAAAGTAAAAAAAAATGCCATTTGGCGGTCAAAAATGATCATTAGACATATGCACATCAAATTATGAGATATTTTATAGAGATTTTAACAATAAGTATAATTTTGGCTTACATTCCTATGGGTTCCGTACCAATGTTTACGCGTTAGACGTCGACGCGGCGCTTACGCGGTTTGATATTTCGTCTTTATGCAGTTAAAGCAGTACGATTGCTTTGAAAAAAAGTTTAGATCTTTCAAAATATGTCAAAATAAAGAAAACATTTTTTCCAAAAAAAAAAATTAAAAAAAAAAAAAATTTTCTTTTTCAAAAAAAAGTAATTTTTGTCTAATTGTTTGTCAAAAATCTTATTTTTTCGAAGTAAATTTTTTTCAAAAATGTTAATCGTTTTTAAAAAAATAATAATTTTTGGTACGGGAAGTTCCAGCAATTTGCCTTGAGGCACGATGCCTTAATTGCCTTAAGACAGAATTCCACTTACAGCTAGTTAAAATTTATGATCTG